ACACACACACACACACTACAGTATGTAGTCCTGCAAAGTATTGGGATTTGGCTCCTCACCTCACTTCCACTCTGCAGCCACATGCTGAGATTGCTGCATGTTATCAAAACTGGCATCAACTGTCATTTAGTTTTGATAATCTCGCATAACCACTTACGTAACAAAAAACACAAATTACATCATCAGCTAACACATTTAATTTTTGCACCTGTTTTAAATGTGTGGCTACATGTGATTTACACAAAAATTGGGAAATTTGCTTGTGTGTGTGTGTGTTTTGTTAGTGTGTGGGTATTTGTGTGTGTGTTTGTTGAGATTAGCAGGTGTGCTCTCTATATCCACAGTAATGACATCACAGCGGGATAAATTTAATACCAGAAATCTGAGCATAGACATGAAGGTCACTCTGTTATTGCTTTTTCACTCTCTGTCTGTCACATACACACACACACACACACACACACACAGATTCACACACTCTCGGGAGTAGTAAACGCATCAAGAAAACCAGCATCGCAGCCAAGCTACAGTCAGAAACATCTGGAAGCCACCACAACCCCCAAAATCAAACAACTTCGCTCTCCTGTTTCCTTCCGTCTGGTTTGGTAAAAATCTAATTTGGTGTGGTGTTTGTGGTGGCGTGATGGAGCACGGCTCAGGACGCAATCAGAGAGGTGTGTGACTGTGTGTGGGAGAGAGGCCTGCAAGGTGTTATGACTCAGCTCACGGTGACTTGATTAGATTATGAATCGTGACAGTGTGTACATGCATGTCAGTGTGTAAGCAATGTGTAGGCAAAGAAGGAGGGAGGCAGGGGTTCTGCTCTGTAGTATTAAAGAATATGCAAATATATTTATTTTGGTTTGAAAGACTTTTAAATGTGTATAACACTACGTAAGAGCCTGAAAAATGATTTATGAAATTTGTCAGCTACAAAAATGCTTCATATTGTAGCACTATGTAGTACTATGTGTATCTTTATAGCTACTTTCAGTTCATTATTTTGGTTTTGAGACCTAACTTTACTGTTTCGGTTCAGTCTCACAACTGTAATTATGTCTTTTTTGGCAAACAGGCAGATGGAAAGCTAGAAAAACACTGTATACACTGTATGCTACCTAGCACCAAACAGCTGACAGACAAGTGTCTGGCTGGTGAACATAGCGGAGCATTAAGCAGCTAAAAAGCCAGATAATTTTCTCAGGAGGTGGTGGAGACCAAAAACAGAGCAAAAAAACAAGTGAATATTGGACATTCATTTGGTGGCCAGAAACACGACCCAACAAGTTTGCCATATAAACTTAAAAGGTGGTCAGTGTTGTGTTCAGTTTGTTTATCCAAGTTTCCAGTAAATCAGTTATCGCAGGTTTAATTTGTTTGACTTGTTTCTGAGTAAAGCTCATTAAACTTTTTTAGCTTTTACATCCAACTACATTGGCTCTGAACTCATGAGCCTTGTTGCATTTGAAATGATTAGATCCCAATTCAGAGACACACTAAAAGGAAATGACTTGCACATTATAACAAAGGAAACACTCTTGTAATTAATCTCTTTCTTGGAAGGTCAACAGTTCTCACTCATAGCTCATCTCTCATCCTCCATGTCTCTCTCTACCTTTCCAGACCTTCAACGAGTTTGAGATCGAGCAGCATCAGGAGTGTGCATATGACCATCTGGAGGCCTTTGATGGGGACAGTGACACGGCAGCCATCTTGGGTCGATTGTGTGGCAGTAAGATCCCGGAGCAGCTGGTTTCTACCGGCAACAAGATGTACCTCCGCTTCATTTCTGATGCCTCAGTACAAAGGAAGGGCTTCCAAGCTACACACTCCACAGGTATGTGTGTCTGTGTGGAAGCATATTTAAGTGTTTATGCATATTTAAGTGTTTATGTATGTTAGCAATAATTTTAACTTTATGTGTGTGAGCTTTTGTCTTTGCAAAGAGCATCACTCACAGTCACCAGCTCAGATTTCTCAAGTGTGAATAGTTTTTTTAGAGCAACATCTCCCTCTAGTGGTTCACAGCAGCACATACATGATGAAAATCATTCACTAAATCTGACTTGAGTTTACTGACTGGGAAAAATGGTTAATTTCACTCTTTCTAACCCTGTGTCTCTGCAGAGTGTGGAGGCCGTCTGAAAGCAGAAGCTCGTCAGAAGAACCTCTACTCTCATTCCCAGTTTGGAGACAATAATTACCCAGGTCACACTGACTGCGAGTGGCTGCTGACGGCCGAACAGGGCTACGGCATCGAGCTGAGCTTCATTACTTTTGAGGTAGAGGAGGAAGCCGACTGTGGTTATGACTACATCGAGTTGTACAATGGGTACGACGCCAACTCACATAGACTCGGCCGCTTCTGCGGTTCAGGGGTAAGGCTTTGTGTTCTCATCTGAGATCCATTTTTTATCTTTGATGTGAAAAATTTTAAAGGACTACACCAATGTATATTTCCTGACCCTATTTAGACATTAGTTTTTATTCATTAACGTTTGTTGGTAATCTAGTGGGTTCATAAAGGACAAGTCTGATGATATTGTTTTAATTGTTAACAAGTCTCATGAAAAGATCAAAACTAGCAATTTCACTAATAAGAATAGTTTGTGCAACCAAATCTATTTAAAGGACATCAGTGACCCACACTGTTGCACTGGGTGACATGTTCCTTCATTACAATGATCATCTGTAGTACAGTTTAAGGGGGAAAAACAAAACAGGAGAGTGCTGAGAGAAAGCGCCTGAAATAAGGTAGAAACTCTGTAACATTACTCCATTACAATTAACAGTTCTGCACTGAAAATGTTAGTTAAGTAAAAATAAAAGTACAATAAATGGCCCCTGTGAGTGATACTCAATAAAGTACCTCAAATCTGTACTTAAATACAGTACTTGAGTAATTGTACCTAGTTATGTTCCACCAATTAGGACGACAAAGCTTAAACATGTTTCAAGTTTTAGCTTCAGAATGAGTAGAAACATCAGGGCTACTTGCAAGGGAAGGGGAAAATACATGAAAACACACACCTAAACTGTAATGTAAAGTGTATTTGATTGTAGTTAATGGATTAAATGAGTGATTTGAACCTCTAAATGTCTGAGAAACTGCTTCATGTGTTCCCTCCATCTTCCCTTCCTCAGCCCAGGGAGGGGATCTACTCGCCCGGAGCCGCTATGCTCATCCGTTTCCATAGCGACGACACAATCAGCAAGAAGGGCTTCCACATCCGCTACACAAGCACCAAGTTCCAGGAGAGCCTTCACACCAGGAAATGACCTCACACGCAGCCCGCAACCTCTGACCTCTGTGCAGCCTGTTACCCTGACCTTCACCATGGCAACGAGAAAAAGTACAGCCTGTCCCCTCTTCTCGGACCCACAGACAGATGTGGACATTCGCCAGCCCCCGGGAGGAAGATGACACTTAGGTGAACATTTGTCTCCTTCTGTGGCTCCGCACAGGTCAACGCACTCTGAGACGAGACGGGGGAAAAACAACGAGATATCGATGTGAGCTTCAACAAACGGGGGGGGGGGAAACACGCTGACGATTTGAGTGAGCCATTTTTTGTGTGGAGGAGATGGTCTTCATTACTGGACATCAAGCTACCCTCAGTGTGGGCAGAGGGGCTGCTGAGGATCCAAATCAGTTTACTGAGATACTCATGGTTGCACAAATGCAAACAAACGAGTACAAACACACATAAACGCAGTAGAATTATATTCAGAATTATAAACTACGGATGCTTGAGGAACTGAGGAGCTTCCACCTAAAAGAAAATGCATCCAACGAGGGAGTTTTGACTCTTTTTCGGACTCCTTGAGCTGTGCAACTTACTGTGATCAGACGGCTGCTTGTATCCACAGTAACTGAGAGGAAACTCTAAATAGACATTTTTATTGCCTTTGATGCCTGGGAACTGGTCTCTTCAACCCAGCTCAGAACGGCTGCAGACGATTTTATTTCATGTCTTATTGTAAAACCCATTGTGTTTACTGTACGTGTGTCTGTGTGTACAGAGAAAAGAACAAAAAAACAAAAGGCTGAAATCCGTCATTTGCCCTTTTGCTTAAAGCTTATGCAGACAACCATTTTGGAATGGAAAAAAAAATAAATAATGCAAATGGAGAATTTCCAAATGATCTGTGATGTTAATGTTAAGCCTTGCATTGTGTTGTGTGTGTCCATGCTGTTTTTTTTTCTTTTTGCACCACCTTGTAACAAACCAAGCAACTTTCACGGATGTTTCCAGTTTCCACCTCACCCCTCAACCCCCCCAAACAAACAGTGGATATCGGAAGGGAATATTTTCACAGCTGTCTCTCGGAGTGACACGATTCTGATTGAAGGAGAGATTCCCATGGTGCTAAAAATAAAAATACACTGAATGACAGATGACTGCGGATGGAAATAAAGGTTTTTCAATAGGAGACACAGTCAGTGTGCAAACAGCACGCTGCATCAACAGCACTAGTCCTGTGGAACTACAATATTGCCTTAGAACCAAAATGTATGCTATCGGAGGTCGCTCCTATGCTCTTACACAGGTGTCTTGTGTCAGCGGAGTGTTTCCAAGGTTTTTTGGCAGCGTATTTAATTTGTTTGGATATCTTGAATGGTTTTATTGTAAAAAAACAAACAAACATGGGAAATGTAGTCTGTGTGTGAGATAGAGTGTCAATGGTGCATGTGTGTTGGTGTGTCATTTTTGTAGCAGCTCTCAGATATACATACACACACTTACACGTCCACAAATACACAAAAACACACCTCATTTGTGTGCATTTTCCCAAACATATCTGAACACACCCTTCTGTAATATTTGGAGCGTGGAGAGCAAAGTGCTGTAAAGTTGAAGGAATATCAAGGTGCACACAGGCTGCATCATTTCTGTGTTCAATGCAAATGTGTAAGTGTGTGTTATAGGAGATTATAGAGAAATAATGTACGTGTGTGTCTGTAAACTGTATGTTTTTAAGTTGAATCATTCATTGCTGTACGTGCCAAGCTCCAGGTGACCCTGATCCACTGTAGTTTTTGTTTTATCATTCCACCTCTGTGTCTGTAGTTCAGAGACACTGACATGACGTCTTATGTATCAGTCATTAAAATACACACAGGTAAAAAACTACATGCATCTGTGTTTCATGGATTATTGTTGTGTTTTGTGAATGAATTTATTATTATTATTCTATTTTTTTTTACTTGTTTGGATGAGACAAGTACTGTGCTGAGTGCCAAGTATTGCTCCATCAATCAAATCCTGGAATTTTCCCTTTGTGATAATTATATTCAAGTGTTTTCTTCCACAAGTTAATTATATTCTGAAAGGAAATTTGATGGTATTTAATGATCTGTTGTAATTTATTACTCAGTTTCCCAGTCATAGTCCATTGCAAAGGTGTAGTAAAAGAAGTCATCCTAAACAAAACCTTAAAGACAATTTGAGTGTTTTTGTTACACTAACTTTTATTTCCTGTCTGCAGTTGTTCACTTTAAACCTCCAACATCTCTATTTATTATTCTATTTCAGTCCTGTTATGTGTTTATCTAGAAGTCTGGAGTGTGCAACAGTAAATATAGACTTTTTCAGTGTTAAATTATATTGAAAATTGATATGCATGTTTCTTTCTTGCCGAGAGTTTGATGAGAAGATATGAAGTTAGCTTTAGAGGTGATGGTAGGTGATTCATTTTCTCATCATTTCAGCTCTAAGATGATTACTTTCTAGGAACAATAGCTCCCAGTTACTCTGGATAATGCACAGACTGGAGTTCATTAAAAACTATTTACAATTATTTTCTTTAATAATTAAGCATATGGTCTGTTTACTCATCACAAGTTCCCAAAACCTATGGCGATGCATTAAAATGTTTTGTTTCCTCCGACCAATTTGCTAGACGACTAAAGAAAAGCTGAAAACATTCACATTTGACACACATTTTTGATTAAAAATGACTTAAAAAATTAATCAATTATCAAAATAGTTAGCATAAAGACTGGAAACATGAGGAAACAGCTAGCCTGGCTCTGTCCAAGGGTAAAATCTGAAGTTTTTACACAAAGGTGATTTTTGTACCGATTAAACAAACAAGATGTAGCCTAACCTGTTAGTGAGCTTTAGAGGTGATGGTAGGTGATTTTGTGACCTGGAAATTATAGTCTTCCTTATTTAATTCATTCAATTTAATTTACATAGCACCAGATTACAACATACATAATCTCAGGACACTTTTCACATAGAGAGGTCTACACTGTACTCTCTCCCACCATTAGCAAGCACTTGGCAACAGTGGCAATTATAGTCTTACAGTCATATTCTATCTCACAATTAATTTTTTTCAACTTTTAACATTATGCTGCAACTATATAAAAGATAAAACATATGTAAGCAGTGTGCCAGCTGGAAATTAAATGGTGTCCAACCCAAAGAGCAACAACAGGAGGTCTGATTATGCAACCGATTACCTCTGACCCCTCACATGACTCCTGCAGACACAGAACAGCTGATTAATTAGGTCTGTTGCTGTAGTTGCTTTTTTTAAAATGTATTATTTATAATTAAACACAGGAAGTGTTTTGATTTACGCTGGTGGCCCTTCCAAACTGTACAATACTGTATGTAGGCAGTGCCATTGGTTCATTATGATACTGTATTGTAACCCTATCTCTGAATATTTTAGGCTAGTAGCAACAACAGTGTTTCTTTACATAAATAAACATCTACTTTTGACTTTTGACCCATTTTACACACAACAGCTTGGTGGTGTCTTGAGGATAAGCCACTTACCTTTATAGGATCAGTTAGATGAGCTTCAGTTGTCACACATTTGGTGCAACAGACCTCCAGCTGTTTGCTGCCACTGTTATACAACCAGTTAACTACTAGAGGGCGCTCAGTCTGAGCTTTTCAATGGTCAGTGCTCTGAAACAGTGCTCTGAAAGTGTTTTTAGTGCTACAACTTAAAATGAATGGTTGCTGGCTTTTCATGATAGCATTAGTTAGGGTTATATAAATGTGGACCATTAATCATACACATGTAAAACTCATAAATACCTGTTAGAAGGTGAAATAATACCTTTAAATTGAACATGTATTATGAGGGCAAGGCTTCTAGTGTTCAGGTTGTATATTCATGTTGAATTAACACCATATATTGTCGGACTGGGTCAGGTTGACATTTACAGCTTGTAGTGTCACAATGGGCCTTACGCAAGAAGAGAAGTACAAATGAACAAACAAACGTAAGGAAACATAGGTTTTAAATTTAAGGAACATAAAAAAGGCATAAATATCATATAATAAGATGACATTATATGTTTTTGAGTAATTATCTATCTATCTTTAAGAGAATGTGGCTGTATGAGGCCCATTGTTTGTCTGACCAGTGTGTTAGATCTGCTTCAGTTTTTAACTTTGGCTCCATCTACAGTCCATCTACAGAACTGCAGTCAGACTGTGACCATTATAGTACGTTTGGGACACACAAATGGGAAATGTAGTCTCACATTTGCTCACTTACCTTTAATGGTAATGGTCTAATATACCTTTGCATATAGTTTTAGTTATATTTCCTGAAGTTTCGAGAACAACCCCACTGAGACTTCTACCCCTCAGTTATATCAAGTTGAAAAGAGTGTAGTTTGTGCTGCTCAAAGCATTAAAAAAATATGTGAACAACTTATTCTTATTCATGCATACAGGAGCAGGGACAATGTAGAATTTATTAAAAAAAAATCTATGTTTATACAAATCCTTTAAAACAAGGTTTAAACTGGTCTGTTTTTTAAATTACTCATGAACAAGCCATGTGACCTATAAAGGTTTTTCATTATAAATTCCACTTTGGTCCTGCTCCTAAAAAAGTGAGAGACTACAGTTCTTTGTCTTGAGATTAGAACTTTTCATCTTTAAGTAAACACTTTTTTAAAGACAAAGTCTCTGCATCCTAAGAATTATCCATTGAACACACAACTATTTTTCTGGAAAAATTATTTAGAGCTACAACTAACAATTATTCTAATTATCTATTAATCTGCTAGTAATTTTCATCGTTTTGGTCCAGAAACTGTTGGAGAATAGTGAAAATGTCAGTCTCAATTTCCTTGAGCCCAAGGTTACATATTCAAATATTCTTTGTCAGTTCAAAAAACATAATGCCGTTTACTTACATATAAGACATTTTTTCTTGAAAAATTACTCAAAACTATTAACTGATTATCAAAATAGTTGCTGATTAATTTTCTGTCATCATTTCAGCTCTAAGATGATTACTTTATAGGAACAATAGCTCCCAGTTACTCTGGATAATGCACAGACTGGAGTTCATTAAAAACTATTTACAATTATTTTCTTTAATAATTAAGTATGGTCTGTTTACTCATCACAAGTTCCCAAAACCTATGGCGATGCATTAAAATGTTTTGTTTCCTCTGACCAATTTGTTAGACGACTAAAGAAAAGCTGAAAATATTCGCATTTGAGCTGAAACAAGTAATTTTGTTGCCATTTTTGATTAAAAATTACTTAAAAGATTAATCAATTATCAAAATAGTTGTTGATTAATATATGTCAGTTGACTCATCAATTAATTGGCTCTGGAAAATCTGATTTTTCCTCAGGAACTATTATCTACTGAAAATATAAAATGATACTTGGATGAACTGACCAGTCTTGTGGTTCCACCATCTACTCTTCTGCCTTCATTTCCCACAATGCACATGCAATGCATGTCTACACTGTTTTGACGAGCATAGAAATGAAAACCACAAATAAAAGACAAAGTAAAACTCAGAATTCCCAACATAATCCAACATTTCCTCATTAATACCACGCTTGAGATTGAGCTCAAGGAACCTGTTGATCAATTCCTCCTAATAAACTTATGAAGAGTTAATTCTTGATATTTCTTCAAAAGCAGTTGACAAAACTATCCCGCTACAAAATCTACATTTTAAAGACAACTGGCAGAAGATCATGTGATATGACCAAAAGCTCCAGAACAACTACAAATAGACGTTGTGATAAGATTGTTCTGTCAACTGTGCTTACCAAGGCCCAGAATTAATATTTCACTTTTAAGCTAACATGGACAACAAACAACCTTAAATGGAAATAGAAAACATTTAAAAAACTCCTGGTAAATCGTGGGATATGAGTTGAAAAGCTCCAGATCGGATACTAAATGAATCTTGTGTTGAGATTGTTTCGTGTATTATCTGCGATGATCTGGCTTGTGCGTGTGAAGGGTGAGGTGCAGCTCATTTTGTCCAAAACATATTTTTTGGTCACATAGCATCTTTAATACCACCATTATAATAATTAGGATATCAAAAGTATCGAGTATACATACATCATTTGCATTGCGGTACACAAATCTGAGCTGATTTATGTTTTTATATCTTTCATTCGTTGTTCTCAGGATCAACTTTTATTGTCTCGACATTGTGCTGATACATTGAATCGTCCTGAAGAACTTGACGCTATTTCAGGAAGGAGAACATTTAATTGGACATGTATTGTTAAGTAATATAAAAAAGTTTTCGATATTTCCAAATGTAACTTGAATCCTATAGTCTACTACTTTCCAATACCAATAGTCAAGTCAATCTTGATATAAGCCAAACTAGAGTCCATGTCACCAAAATCAAAGTACTTCAGGTAGGTTTCTTCACCTACAGTGGTCTTGATATTCTGTAGTTTTCTTCTCTTTTTTGCAGTAAAGTTCTTGAAGCTGTGGGAACAGTCTCTTGAAGCCATGCCTGTTTTTGTAACAGTCCCAGTAAATGGATTCTCAGGAGTCTGAAGATGTGTTGTGTTTATGTGTATGCGTGTGTGTTGGTCGAGGACGGCGAGGGTCAAACTGGTGAAACACCTCGCTTTCCTCTATCCTCCACCACCTTCACAGTCTCAGTCTGTGCTGCCTGTCAGACGCTGGTGATGGAGGCCAGGCAGTTCGATGACTTCTGGAGTTTCTCAGGCTGTGTGGTGGGGGGCTCTGGGATGGCGCGAAAGCTGAATGGCAGTCCGATACTACTGGTGCCGATGTGGCCAGGGCTCAGCGCTGGATTCTGCCGTCTATTGCTTTCCACAATGCTGGATGTGTTGGATGCAAGGCTTTCACGCGTCCTGCACGAGAGACAACATAAAGTGTTTGGTTTCAAAATACAGTATGAATTCAAGTAATCTAATAATAATGCAAGACTTCACATAGCAGTGATTCCCAACCGTTTTCCTTAAGGGATCCTCTCTATCATTGAGTAAACGACTACTGAATAAGTGAGTCATTTTATGGATATTTCATATTATGTTCAATGCATAACAATAACAGTACAGAAGAACTGATAAAGTGTACCCAAATGAACCCAAATAGCAAACACAGTAACTGCCGGAAATTTTCAGAATTCAGGGTTTTCCTGTTTGGTTGTTTCAACTGTGTCCTTGTAATGCAGGACGAAGCTGTTAATTAGAGAATGAAGGCTGTGTGAATATAGCTTGTGTTCAGGTTTTAAGGTTTAAATCTTCAATAATAATATAAACTTGGAGAAAAAAATTGAGTTTTCTTTACAGTAATTAATGAAATTCTGAGATATACGAGCTACTGTGTATATTTTTTAAGTTTTCTTAATCCCCTTGCGACGACCGGTGAAGCTTTAGCAACCCCTAGTGGGGGTCCTGACCCTCAAATTGGGAACCACTGGTGTATATGTATAGGTGGTGCTTGGCTAGAAAGACAAATGCCACTAATAATACAATTGTAAGTATATTTTACAGTCTAGAGGTAACAAGCTGATCAATTGCAGTTAATGAGAATTATAATAAGAGAATTCCTTCCAGGAAGAGAAACGCTTCATTTCATTTAAAAAAGGTTTTACAAATAAACACAAAAAGCTTTTATGAAGTTATTTATCCTGGAAAAACATAAATATACAAAGAAAAAAATCACTTTCTCAACAGCCTGCATGGTATTAATAATACTGTATATATTAAAGGGTCCTTTGTGGCTCTTAAGGGAACTTTATATGGTATGAAAAAATAGGCCAGATGACGTCATCAGGTTTATTTTACTTCACATATTTGACAGAAAGCTTGCGTTACTGACTGGGCATGAGAAGTTTGACAGAGCTTGTAACAAGTAGAACTGCATTATGAGAAGTGTAGGATCCAGTGTTTTGGGAGCGTAACCGATCCTCAGCAATGAAAGTCAGGCTTTCTGTCTCTCACGAGTCAGACAACAATTTTATGGAAGTGCAATATTAAATCGATGGAGCAACCCTTCTGGTAACTGTCTGATAAATCGTGTTTAGATGGGTCACAAGTGATTCACTGATATTAAACTGCTGCACTGTGTTCATGTTTCACTCAAGGAGCAGAAATAACGTGTTGCTAGTATATCTGTTTGTATGAGATGTTTGCAGCCGTTTATATAAAGCTGAAACTATTCATCCGTTTGTCACGGGTTTCAGCTGTTTTTACGTGCTTGTTATCTAAAGTTGATACATACTCAAAATCAAGATTTTTCTTGTCTTGGTTGAATACAACTCTCAGAAATGTTACTAGACTGTTAAAACAGGAAACTGGTCCTTCTCACTGTTCAACATGTTATCTGATTAAAAGCACACCTGGAACTCCAACTCACTAAAACCTAATCTAATCTATTCACTATAAATATAGAATATAGATGATCTACATCGGTACAGTCTAATGCAATCAAACCTCAATAATAAACATACAATTGATACTTTTCTGACAGTGTTACCAAAAGCATTATGAGCTTCTTAGTGTCAGAGGTTATGACAGGTCTGTTGTATTGGACTGAATTTATTGTACAGGTGTACCTACTGTAGTAAAGTGGCCACAAAGGGTAGATACAAAGTCAAGACTGGTATTTGATTGTAAATGCATTAACCTGGGTGCCTCTCTATCATCCTTTGTGATAGTTAACTGAGTTATTTCAGTTCGGTAACATAACCTGCTACAGTTTACAGATTATCACATGACCAAAGTGGACTTTGGGTGACGATTTTCTTTTGTTTTGTCAACATAAAAAGGTTATTTTGGCTTAGATTAAATTGAGTACCACCATCTTTTGTTGAGCTTTTTTTATTTTGTGTGACTTTTACTTACATTATATGACTTAAAGTCCCACTTAAGTATACCTCGCTCGCTTTACCAGTAATGCTGGTTTAAGACATAACATTTTAAGAGCAAACTGCTAGATGTTAATACACATCTACAGTTCATTTAAGCACATACCTGGGGGAGTTAAATCCACTGTCCACCGTGACACTGCTGCTGTCCATGCTGTCCAAACGGGCAGAGTGGGCCGACTTCTGGCTGCTGCTGTTCTCTGTCTCCTTGGGGCTGAGTAAGGTCAGATTGGTCTCCAGTTTTCGCTGAAGATCATGGTCCTTCTCCCGCTCCAGTAGCCACTGCATGGTTCCCTCCCCACCACCACCACTGCCTCCACCGTTGCCACCCCCTTCCCCATGGTCTTTGTTGTCCTCTGCCTTTGCCAACTCTTTGTGCGAGTCCTCCTCTGCCTCTTCCTCTTCCTCATCATCTGATACATTATAATAGTCAAAAGAGGCGGAGGGGACTGTTGGCTCTAAGCAGCCCTGTAAAACTGCAGGTGACGCTGAGGAAGTGGCTGAATTGGAAGGCTGCTGGGGCTCAGGATTGTCTAGGGCCTCTGTTGATTTGGCATGTGAGGCTTTCCGCAATGTGCCGGACTTGGTGTAGCTGCTGTCCACATAGCCTGTGGACAAGGCATTGTGTGGAGGTTTGAACAAAGTGTCCTTGCTGAAGATCTCTTTCCTCTTGATCACCATACCGCCTCCTCCCCCTCCGGGATCTACATTGTGTTGGTGTGGCGTCAAACGGGCATTTTGCACCGGCTCTGGCGTCTGGCTTGGCGTCAGTCGCACTGAGCCGTTCTGTCCCTTTGCTGCCGACAAGTCCTCTTTGTACTCCATCGTGTGAGGAGAGGTGAGGTGAGGCGTTTGGCGGTCAGCCGGAGAGCCCTTTCGGAGTCCCCCTGATGAGGTTAATGTGTCATATTCTGATTTTGCCTGAGGCGAAGGGGCAGTTAGGATTGTTTCATTTGACGTATTGCACTGGAAGTACTCATCTGTTGAGGGCTTAGGAGAAAGTCCCATTAGCTCATTGTACGTTGGCAAGCTGTCTCTGCTTTTGTTCCTCTCCATCGTACTCCGGATCCTTGACTCATCCAAACTCCCTTTCCCCAAATCAGGCACATTAAAATCAGAGTGGAACTTAGCAGCAGAGAACATGATCCTTGAGTAGTGGGAGGACTTCTGCGTGGCGCGCAGGGTGCCGTCATCGGTGTAGTAATGACTACGCTCCTCCAGATTGGGGTCAAAGTCTCCTGGCGGGCCCTGTGACGGGCCCTTGAGGGAGTTGTCCATGGACCGAGAGCGTTCCTTAGCCTGATCTGACCTCTCGTGACGCGACTTCCTGTCCTGATTGTGACTGTGACTTCTTTGTACTCTGGACTGGCACGTCCCACGTGATGGCTCAGGGAAGGGCATCTCTGTCCGTCTCTTGGCTAGCTCCCCAGACACGTCCCACTCAGGGGTAACTGGGCAATACGATTCAGTAATGTTGGGGTTGCTATGGACCAGGTATGTTGCGCCTCCACTTCGCCTACGTTCCAAGGTGTACATGGCCTCCCGAGGTGAGCGTACTAACGAGTGGCTGAAGAAGCGGTAATCCCTTTCCATAAACAAAAGGTCCCAGTTTGAACCCTCAGACGGGTCTCCCCTGGAGGTTCGGGGCTTGCTGTGTGAGCGCGACTTACCATGTGGGGCCCTCCTGTGTCCCCTCCCCCTCCTGCTGCGTGCACTGTGCTGGGCTGAAGATCCTGCCTTGTTCTTCTGTGTACGCTCTTCCTCCAGCCTCTTCATCACAGCCGTGTGCCTTGCCACATTCTCCACTGTTAGATCGGGGTTGATTCGGCGGATTATCTCCATCTCCACCTCACGGGGAATGGGCGTGGTTGGCACTTCCTCGTCACGAAGAGGCCACTCCTCTGGGGGGAACTGGGCTGAGAAGGTGGCCAGCTGCCTCATTTTGTCCTTCTTGAAACTCAGTCTGAAGAGCCTGAGACCGAACCTTTTGGATTGCTTCTCGCCACTTCCGCTGCCACCACTTCCTTCTTTCTTTTTGGTCAGAGTGTCAGTTTTATAAGGGAAAGAAGTGATGCTTTTGCTCTTTTCAGCGGGATCTTGAGGTGGCGGTTGCTGGACAGGGGGAGAAGTGGGAAGAGGGGGATAAGGATATGATGGCGGTTCTCCTCGGTGCTCCTTGGCTGACGTGCTTGGTGGAGGTTCCCCACTGTTGTGATCCTTGGGTGGTTTACTTTGATAAGAATCTCCCCTGTGCTCCTTTGGTGACTTACTTTGGAGCGCAGAGGTGTGAAGTCTGGACGGGTCTTCGCGATAGGAGTTGTATGAGTCACTGTGATTCTTGCGAGGAGGCCTCTCTCTCAGGCAGCCAGGTGTGGATGGTGTGACGTTGCCAGACTTAGGCGAAGTGCATTGCTGAGGTTGCTGCTGCTGCTGCTGCTGCTGTTGTTGCAGCTGCTGCTGCTGCTGTTGTGACTGTTGTGGTTGGCGCTCTTGCAGCCGATCATCCAGATGATACCACTTGTTGTTGGTTCTGATGAGGGACGGAGTGATAAAGTAGGTCTGGGGGGTGACAATGAAGTAGCCCTCTGGAGTTGGGTAGATCTTCCTCTCTCGCACCAGCATGTTCAGGGTATGTCGCAGAACCTCTGAGCTGGGTGTAGGCACGCCTGCAGGAAACACAGTTCAGACAAAGTTAAAGCACAGTCTTTCAAAAAGAAACAGGTCCTTTCAAACAGGACATCAAACAGGTTTGAACATCTTGTTGGAGCATGGTGACAATTTAGATAGATGGTAAAATAATCCAAATATACACTTTATACAAAAAATCAAAATTAAAATAAATATAAAAAATATATATAAATAATAAATAAATGTCTTAATAATTAAGAACTTTTGGTGAAAAAAACAGAACTCAGCTTGTCAGGAACAGACAACATAAACACTAGTTTAAGGGCTATTTTAATATGAATAAAATGTGATATTTAGATGTTCCAGCCCAATACAACACACAGTATGGCAGTTTGATATACTGCATTATGCATCTTCTTACCCAGCATTTCCTTCAACCTATATAATGGTCGTGTTAAGTGAAAGTTTCACACCAAAGTTTTTCATGGATGCACCATTACAATAACGATACTGTAGATTTATTGTGCAACTAAAACTCAGCTTGACATATTCAGTATTGTAGGAAACATGGGTTTTACGTGACATGAAATGGGTATTCATTTAATTTTTTGTTGACTTACTTTTCTTACATGAACCCCCTACCTTAGCTCACCTGAATTCACATGCATTTTAATCTGTATGTAAAAACAAATGGTACATTATAAACTAAACACTCCCATCCCTGAATGACTCCTGAGGATATTTACTGAGGATGTAAACCACCATCAGTCAGCTCAAGAGATTACCTTATATTAATTACCAAATAGACATCAAAAGTAGTCCAATTTGAACAACACCATTCTTAACCTTTGTCTAGCAAGGCCTTGTGTTGCCCGACATTACATCACCCGTGTGTTAGTTTTTTGTTTTTTTTACACAGAAATGATGCAACCTATAAGTTCATCTCACTCTGGTATTGTATAGAAGTGAAGATGACTCTGAAAGACATGCTTTCCATTAAATTTGACTGACAACTTGGTTACACAGTAGTTAAACATGTGGTTTTAAACATTGTGTTTTAATAAATATTTAGTTTGTTTAAATAAAGGGTAATCCTGGGTTTAAATGTTTTATAAATTTTATACAAGAAGAAAATTACTATGCTATTAAAATATTACGTATATTCAAACCGTTTGAATAAACAACATTGTGAACATTTTGTTGGAGCATCACAACAATGTGAAAATAGTAAAAAACTGATCAAAGTTGCTGTTTTTTTTAACCCTGAGAGACCCTTTGTTTTGTGAGAACTGCTATTAAAATTGTTTCTTATGAAGTGATAAGATAATAATAAGATAAGATAAATTCTTCAAATGGTGCTACTTGCTTGGTGTCACCAAATTCAAGTTTAACAATGAATTCTGGTCTGGTTATTATTTAACCTCGTCGGGTTCAACAGGTTAAGTAGCAGAATATCCAAATACATAATCATGAATAATTAGTCGCATAAATCAATATACATATATGTCACTTGTGAAGAAATCCAAAAACAATATATGAGAAAAAAAAGGGACAGGGCGCTAAAGATGTTCACAATGTTTTAGTACATTTAAGGATGTTTTATCAGTAACTCTGGATGGTCAGGAAAGAGTGAAAAATATCCACCATTATTTCCCAGAGCCCAACTTTAAGTCTTCAAATGTCTAAAAAACAGTCCAAATTCCAAAGGAAATCTGTTTACTATCATATATGACAGTAAAACAATAAACCCTCGCATGTGAGAAGCTGGCACGTGAATGTCTGGCTTTTGTGATAGAAAAATGTCATAAAAACAGTAATTAAAATAATTAATGACTAATCGCTTAATCGACTAAGGGTTTCAGGTCTATTCCTATTAAGTTTGTTTGGAAGATTTTACAGGATGAAATATGTCAATTCTCAATTAATGAAATCTGCCCTGAGATGAGATCAATAAATGTTTAAAGCCTACATAGATCATTATGTTGCTCTTTGAACCTGACTGTTAAATGTATATATAATAAAACTATATAATCCTTTTGCTTGGAAAATTTCATAAGCAACAAATCATGAGACAATAAACAAATATGTGACACACACATAGATGTATATAATTACCATTTCTACTAGTATTTAATGAAACTGCTAATTTTCTAACATACGTCACATAATGTACTCAAAAATCAGTCTCTGCATGCTTTAGTGCAGTCCCATTTTAGAACGCGGTCAGAGGAGCCTACCTGGGAAGCTGGCAGTGAGGTGCTCCACCAGAGCCTCCTGGTTGACAGGATTGTGGGCAGAGTTCATAGCAGAGATGGCCAGGCACAAGATCTCTCCCAGCGGGATGAACTGTGACTGGCTGATAGGTGACATACTGATCGGAGACACGTCACCTGCAGGAGGAGGAGGAGGAGGCACAAGCACAACTGTGAGATCATGAATGAACAGCAGGCGCAGCGTGTGAAGCTATGATGTAATGGTCAAACAGCAGCAGTTTGCACGCTGCCTGGAACAGCTCCACCCCTCCTCTCTGTGCTTCCTTTAGCCTCTCATTCCTCCTGTTTCTCGTAGGTTGGCAAAGCGAGGCAGCTGCTGCAGCAGCCCGTAACTGTAGCGTGAGATCACCTGAGTCTTTGCAACCTCGTTATTCAATTTATCTCGCAAATAAAAAGCGAAGCTTACACAATCCTTCAGAGTGTCAAACCCCAACGTATTTGAAATTTAACAAAATATAACTGACTTTAGCACCACATTGAGAGCTTACACACAGAAATTCTCTTTTGCCTTTGTTGAATTAAGCTGGCTTTGCTGTCAGCAGTAGTGAGTAGTGAGATCATCCTACAACCAGACGGCCCGGCTTCAAGCCCCTCTGAGAGCAAACATCTGCCCTGCTGAAAGGTTGTAAAGCAACACACCGAATCCATCGCTGCAGCATCTGTGCTGTAGCTGACCCTGTCCTCTGACCTAAATCTGGAGATCGATAGAGAATCATACAATACAATGTAGAAAATATATCCACAAAGCCTCCATGTTTCCTTTCTAACCTAATATTACGTCTCCACAGATAACTAACAGAATTAATTTAGCCTTATTGATCACTGCTTAAAAGTTTTGCTATCATTTGCTGTCCACACTAGCTGAGCGGAAATCTGTGCAGGGCCCTGCCTCCTCACCACAGTCAGCTGAATGGTCAGTTAAGCAACGCGATGACGTTATCTCTGCTTAGTATCACAGCCCCCTAAGCTTTATGTGGCTTTACAAGGCTTTACTCGGTTTTTAGTAAACATGAGAAAAGCTGGATCTGCCAGTGAATTAGTCCCCACGAAAAAATCCCCCTGTCCTGTGCTTTTATAGTATTTTAGTTTTTTCAACATACGCAGAGCAAATCTCTGAGGGGTGTGGGAATGAGGTTGTAGTATTTATGCTTCACATCATGCAATGGAGAAAGACAGCAGAAAACTATGCAAATATTTATAATAAAACTGGCTGAAAGGATTCTTGGTCAGGACATTAGTTGCTGATGTGAGATGTCCCAGAAGCCCATTTGTCATATCAACAAACGAAATGAATCTGTCACAAAATTTGACGCAAAGGTGATGCAACTGATATTCAAGAATATATTATACATAATGAATTGATAAATATAAATTTTTTTTCATCATGTTCACAATTAGTTTAATTCATGTTTAAATATGGGTCAGTGAATACAAGGGATATGTAAAAATATGTCAGGAAGTAGGAAAGTTGCAGAGGTTTGGACCCACTGAGATACAGTTTAATTAATCTTAAAACAAGCCGACAGACAAGAGAAAGCTTTAGATTAAATAATTCAAATTCTTTTTCTCTATTTCTATTTGACCTCATTTGATACATTAGAGAAGTCGTAAAAAGGGGAAGTAGTAAACAATTCCTCCTTGATAACATTAAAATTTCGTCCACTTTGAACTCTGCCCTTTGACCTTAAATCAAAATGCCTTTGCTAACTCCAAGCAGCTTTGCGTAGAGAGAGGGTGGAGCTTCTGTTTGTGGGAGTGTCCGACTCACCTGGTGCACGATAACTTGGCGGGGACGGAGAGAAATGAGGAGGAGGAGGGGGAGGAAGATGCTGCTTCTGCACACGGATGTCTTTCTCACTACGGGAGAGATTGTGCTCCAGCGGGCGTTCGGTAAGCTCCGAGCTGGGCCAGGCCCGCCGCAGATTGCTGCTGCGGTTCTTCTTCATCGTGACCCCTTTACCAGGTGGCCTTCACCCCAGGGGGCTTCTGGGATAAGATGGGTAGGGGGTGGGGGGGCTTGGGTGGAATGGGGAGGAGGGGGAAGGAAGGAGGGAGGTGGGGAAGGGGGGGTGTGCAGGGGGAGGTCGACCAACCTCAGGCTCAGTGCCTCCCCCGCATCAGTAAGAACGTCCCGCTAGAGCGATCACACACCAGACATGGCAGGAACCAGTGTGCACCTTCACACACATACACACGTCTCATTTACATCCACGAGCAAGCTACAAACGACTGTGTTCGCACTGTGGGTGGTTGTCATCGGCTGCTGGGCTCTCCCAGGCTGATCTGGAGCAGTGGCAGCAGTGGCGGAGGTGCAGGTGATTGCGCGAGGCATCACCCTTTCATCGGCATCAGTCCCAGCCACCATTTGTAGCATCCCCATTTGCATGCGTAGGGAGGCACATTACGTAGCCGCTCTGATGTGGGAGGAGGGAGCAGGAGAGAGGTGGGGGGGCAGGGGTAGAGATGAGGGAAATGGGGCATTGGAAGCAAGGAGGACGGTGAGGAGAGATTTCAGTGGAGGTTTTGGGATCCGCTTGTTCCTTTTGAGTAGAAGGTAACTGGGGAAGGAAGGGAGGGGATGGATGGATAGTCAAAGATTCAAAGCTTAAGAGGCCCAGTCTTCGACAATAGCTCAATTCACCACAGGAGTGCTCGGCCGATCCCCGGAAAACAAAAGAGCCCACTTAAAAAAAAACAGAAATAAAAGCTCCATTCACCCTAATGGGCAGTGAAACCTCAATAGTATGCCAAGCACCGGAGACGCCACGTTCACCTCCATCTTTATCCGATCAAGCACAAGACCCCATCGTCCTTTCGACAACAGCACACCAGGAGAGGGTGGGGAGAAAAAAATGGAGAGCATAGAAATAAATAAATAAATTCAAGAATAGATATCCACCGTTTCCCGCAATCCAACGGAAGAAGCTCCGGAGCCTATCGCCGTAGCATCCATTCATTAACAGGGGGGGATGCAAACTCCAGTCAACGGCAAATCTCTTTCAACGCTAATGCTGCAGCTGCTCCCAGCACCTCCAGGAAGGGTGTGTGTGTATGTGTGTGTGTGTGTGTGTGTGTGTGTACGTGTATGTGTGTGTGTGTGTGTGTGTGTGTGTGTGTGTGTGAGAGAGAGAG